CCCCCCCCCCCCCCCCCCCCCCCCCCCAAAAAAAAAAAAGACAAATCACACCCACGCAGGGAGGGGATTAGGTATTTGACTCTTTCAAGCGAATTGAAAGAGACGAGGTTATGAAAACCTTTGGGGACGATATATTTTTGGTAAGAGTCTTAATCAAAGCACCGAAGTATACTAGTCAATATTAGTCTGAACATGAACATCACTGCCTGCTTTGCTTCATGAAAGGTTTGGTTTGGGGATAATGTGCCCCTCTGATTGCGGTTAATGGGTCTTAAATCACAACAACATTTTGCCACCAAATTAGTTGTCCGTCCACGTGAACCTGTCATTTCATTCGAGTTGTTTGTTTCTATCTCACTTTCTAAATTGAATTTTGAAGCGGGTAAGAGCATCTCCAACAACAAAATGTATTTTATCTATTTAAAAAATAATATTTTTTATTTTAGCTACTCACTTTTTAACAGATTTTCTATATTTTTAACTATTTCTTTTAAATATTATTTCTTAATGAAAAAAAGAAAGAAAGAGAGAAAATGGAAGCAAAGAGAGGAAGAGAGAGAAAATAATATATATAATATTTATATAAGTGTTACTGTAGTAAAAATATATTTTACATATTTTGTTTATTTGAAACATCTGCTCCAAGCAATCACTGTAATGAATTGGGGAACTATTCTAGTTGCCGCGTTATGGGCCTGATGGCTCCATAATTTGAAGATTCAAATATGAATGTTGAATTGGAGACCAGATCGTTAATGATTATGACAACTGCTTTCAGTGATGGCACATGCATTGGATGGACAGTTGCACATTCTGCCACTGGAGGGCCCACTCTGTTCCTTGATTGTGTTCACATTTCTTGCTGCTTCTTTCCATTATTTCTCCTTTTCTTTTTCTCTAACATGTTTCATTTACAGGAAAATTTACGATATTGAAAAAAAAAAAATTGATATCATACTAAAAATTATTATTTTTAATGGTAAAATTACATTTTTAAAAATTAAATTTAGAATTGATTGAGTATAAGATTCTCTTGAGCAATTGTAGTTTTACTTTTGTCAAGTTATTCTACGATAATTATGTCCTTTATAAGTTTTTATATATTAAAAAATTATAATTTTTTGTAGGTATTAACACGGTGGTAATGTAGTTTTTTCTTAGCTTATTTACTTTGAGCTTTGCATCATTGAAAAATGGTTTGACATTGTTGGGGGAGATCTGTCAGACGGTTTGACCACTGTAATGTACAAAACAGCCATTAATTCCACCTCTATTCCTCGAGTTAGCTGAATTTATGGGGTCTTTCGCACTTCCAGAACGGTGAATGGAATTGCAGAGCATCTTTTATTATAATAGTTCCATATTCGTAATGTTCTGTAGGCTTGACTCATCTTCAATTTTAGATTTAAGTTGTATGAATAACGCAATGCTTTTGAAATTCTACCGATAAAATCATAAGCTAATTTAAAGTCTAAAAGCACTAAACTCGAAAAATAAAAAATAATAATAAAATTAGAACATTAAAGCAGCAAGAGAATCACATGAGTTGGTGGTCTAGTGGCTAAATTTCATGTGGGTAGTCAACAATTTTTAATTTATGAGAGTAATATAATTTATTTTTGTAATTTTGATAGTGTTGTAACAACATATTATCTTTTTCAGGTAAATAATTATGATTCAAATTAAATATTTTTTAGAAAAACTTTATAATCACGTCAAAGGTTAATATTTACTGCTCCCTTGTTCTTCTTCTTTTTTTTAAAAAAAAAAGAAAGAAAAAGCTAGAAAGAGTGAGTAGGACGTGTGAATATGGTTAGTGAGGGTGGGGCCTGGACGTGTTAAGTTCTCACATGCACTCTCCGTGGATAACTTGAAAACAGAGCACCATGACGCCACCGCCACCATCACCACCACCTTTCATGCCCCAACAAAACACAAGCATTTCGGTCATAAAATTAGTGCGCGTGGATCCCTCCACCGACACACCCAATAATTTTTTAGCTTATTCTATTTTATTTTCTCCCATTTCATTCCTTCATCTCCATTTTCTATTCCTTCTTATCTTTTCCCTCTCTTTTTTACGGCTCTGAGTCCAACTCACTTGACTTTTAGTAGTAGTCTGTACCGCACTTTAAATATGCCATCTCTTATCATTCATTTTCCTCCTATCCCTACCACCAATCCCCTTTCAAATCTCTCTCCAATCCTCCAGTAGTGCACTTCTCACTTGCAGAAGATATCGATCCAAAGAGTGAGAAGGAGAAAGAAGAAAAAGAAGCAGATCCTCTGCTTCCAATAGATCAAAAAATGCCGCTGAATTTGGCGGCATTCATTGGTGTTGTTCTGTTTGCCATTGTTGGTGCTGAGGATCCGTACAGAAGGTGGAACTGGAATGTTACTTACGGATTCATTTACCCTCTCGGCATTCGCCAACAGGTTCGTCGATTTTGGATTTTGGTTAGTTAATTTAGTGGATTTGTATTTGTGTAGCTTTTGGAATTGGATCGTCATGGTTTGACGAAGAAATGGTTGTGATGTTCTGTTTTTGCAGGGGATTCTCATCAATGGCCAATTCCCTGGTCCTGATATTTATTCCGTCACCAATGACAATCTCATTATCAATGTGTTTAACAGCTTAGACGAGCCATTTCTCATCTCCTGGTAATAACACACACTCTCTCTAAATCTCCGTACGTTTTGTGATTATATCTGCAAAGACCACGCGTAATGATTCCAATGCCACAGCAAATGACAATGCTGTCCTAGCTACTTCTTTCAATAATTCTGTTTGTACAAATACAATAAGCTGCCGCTTAAAATAGATTTTTTTTACTGTGAGACTTTAAATATAGAGTATAAATGTAATAACTTGTAAACATATTTTATATTATTTTATCTTTTTTCCTCTCTTTTCTTCTATTCTCTCTCTTTCATTATTTTCAAAAAAAAATAATATAAAAAATTAAAAAATAATATTTAAAAAGAGTAGTTAAAAATATATAAAATCAGTTGAAGTGTGTATTGAAAAAGTGAATAGCTGAAATAAAAAAAAATAATTTTTGAACAGTTAAAATACAATTTGTTGTTAGAGATTCTATTAGATTCGTGGAATAATGGGTGTAGTAAAGAACTTAATGATCCCACCAATAAGAAGCTACAAATGTGGTATTTGGACGTTTTGTCTCTGCCTCTTCCTTCTACTAGCAAAAATAAAAAATAAAAATACGGAGCTACATCTTTGACATTTACCAAGTTTTTTTTTAGAATAATGCTATTAAGATCTAATTTATTGATTTAATTCATTGTTATATTTGAATTAATTATAGATCCTATTAAATATTAAAATTTGGTATTGATTCAATAATTTTTATAAAGTCATATCATTATATCAATAAATTAAATTAAAATTTTAAATTCAAATAGAATTACCCTTCTTTTTAACTTCAGCTGATTGCAACATCCTCTTTTTAACTTTCAAATTAGGCGAATGTCCGCCTAATTTTTCTCGGATCTGAAAATTCTTTGAAGACATTCATCAACTAGATAGTGTACCCAGTTCAAGAGGCAGCCCCGTAGAATGAGGATCAGCTGGCCATGAGAGTCCTCAAATTACTTAGAACGCACTAGCTAGTACAAAGTCCGTTTGATACACTGATTGATGAGGATAGCGGTACTTCCACTTTCATTAATAAAGTTCAACTACTGACATTGAAGTCACAAACTTTGTGGGTATGAATCAAGGGATGAACGCCATAAGATTGTAGATCCAACTATGAATGAGGGTCCAGAAAATAATTGACCATTTAATCTTTTGAACTAATCGAGACTGATGGGATTAGAGATAATTACTCTTTTCTAAATGACTTGATCCAAGATCCTATGTTACTGGTAGATATTTGGCCACGATCTTACATAATTATCGCACATAGTGCTTGTACTAAAGCCGTCATAAGATCATATTAATGGGAAAACGAAATGGGTTGTGACAACACCACAATCTTGTTCTAAGATTATGCACAATTTTTTTGTGACTAGTGACATCATAGTTTATTTTCAAAGGATTCTTATTGCTTTGGTTTTCTTTTTCAATTCCAATAAGATTGTCATTGTGCTGAAGACAGAAAATGACTCGTCCTTTGTTTTTAATGCAAAAGAAAACCAATCAAAGTCCATTTAGCAAGATAATTTTCACAAGTCTTCGTTTATGTGGCTGTGAGTTTCTCTAAGAGTTTTCCCGCGAAGGTGCATGCATTGGTTTCTCTCTCCGGTTTTTGTTCCTTTGAAAATGTGGAAATGCCCAATAATCTTTATTCCTTCTGTGCCTCCGTGCTGTTGGTTTTGTTTTTGTTTTTTTGACACGTGACCTCTGTGGGTGGGGTTTTTAGGAAAAATTTTATTTTGCACCAAAAAAGATTTAAGTTTTTTTACTTTATACTCTTAAAAATGAAAATTTTCACATTATACTTTTAATATATTAAAAATATTCCAATGTTACTCTTTCATTATTTTTTATTGTTTATTTTGTCAAAATTTGTTCCATTGAAATTGACAAAATGAGCAACGAAACCTAACGGAAGTGACACATTGCAATACTTGTAATATATTAGAGGGCTGTTTGTTTCAAGGATTAGAGTGGTATAAGGAGGTAGTATTAGAAAAATAGTACGTGAAATCCATTTTATACCTTATTTGTTTAGCATTTTATAGCTAATACTATTTTTCGGATCGTAATACCGACCTGCTATGAATAGTAGTCATAATGTCTTATAGATGGTCTTAATGAATACCATCTATCTGGTGGTATTATATGCCCGGTACAAATAAGATGGAAGTATAATAGAGTAAAAAAATTCAATTGTCCTCATGTACAATTGTCTTTTTAAGGTTACAAGATTACAATTGTCTTTTTACGGATCATAGCCACAATTGTTGACTTTTTTAAGTAAGTATTACACAGATAATGTTTGTGACAAAAAAACAAGGGGAATGATGAGATTATAGTTTAAAATCGGGTATAATATACCATTGGATTAGAGTGAAATGGATATAAAATCTTATATTCGAAACAAATGGCCCCTAAGAGTACAGTGTAAAAAATCTAATATATGAGAATATAAAGTAAGAATTCTTAAATATTTGATGATGCAAAGTATAATTTGAACTTAAATTAATCGCAACAAATGATTTAAAAAATTTTCTTCTTATTATTTGAAAAATCAAAAATTTCACATTATAGTTTGGATCAGATTCTGAAGTTTTCTTTCACTTCTATTTTTCAAATAATAGCAATTTGCCCAAAAAATAGCATGCCAACTATGAATGGCATGCTGTTTTCGGGACACATTATTATTATTTATAGAAAATTAGCATGTAATATGAAAGTTTTAACCTTTGAAAATCTCATATTTTTTCAAAGTACAAAGTGTCATTCACCCAATTCCCAATGTAGGACATTTTTTTTTCTATTGGTTTTCGTCCATGGATAGTGCTTATTTAGTCTAAGGTGCATGTAAATCAAATTTTAAGATGAATTTATTTTCGTAATCTATATAAAAGAAACATGATCTATATACAAGAAACATACACGTTAGATGAAATTTTCTTTTATTAGTTGTTCTTTTGTTTCTAGGTGAACGTCGGAACTAACTTGTAATTCTGTTTTTTTGGAGAAACATAGGAATGGCATACAAAATAGGAGGAATTCGTTTGAAGATGGAGTTTATGGGACAACATGTCCCATACCTCCAGGAAGGAACTTCACCTACATTCTTCAAGTGAAGGATCAAATTGGAAGCTTTTACTACTATCCTTCTCTTGCATTCCACAAGGCTGCTGGTGGTTTTGGAGGTATCAGGATCCTTAGCCGGCCATTGATCCCTGTCCCCTTCCCTGATCCTGCAGACGATTACACTGTGCTCATTGGAGACTGGTACACGTCTAATCACACGGTAAAACATCCTTCTGCCCCCATATATTCTTTCATCCCTATATTGTTCCCTTGAAGTGAAATGGTTCCTCCCTATCAAATTAAGTCATTTTTTATTTGTATTTAAAAAAACTGTATTTAAAAATTATTTAAAAAAAAATTGAAAAAACTACTTTAGTGTTTTTTTTTTTGTGTCATAGAACTTGTTTGGTTATATTATTCTAAAAATAATTTTATAAAATAAAAACAGTAAAATTTATTTAAATAGTAACACAAAAAACAACAAAAAGAAAAAATATGGTGATGGTGGTAGAAAAGTGGTGATGACGTTGGTGGTGATGGAAGTGTGATGTTGGTGGCAGTGTGATGTTTTCTAAATTTTGGAAATATTGTTTCAGAAAACGCATAAAACAACCATAATTTCTTTTCTAAATTTATTCATTTTTTGTTCTTAATTTTTTAAAAAATAAAATAAAAAACAGTTGGCCAAACAATTTTTTTTGTGAAAATAAAAAAACAGTTTTTAACATACAAATCAAAGGGAGTTCAAATCTCTTTCATCTTTTTGTTTTTGTCCCGAACCAAATGTCTAAAGAAAATCTTAAATATAGAGACGGACCTAATTTGAATATTTCATTAAAGTTGTTAAAATCAAAATTGATTTTATTAAATATTAAAAATCATAATTTATTTAGTCACTATATTAAATTATGTTCCTAAATTAAATCGAAATAATATTTCTGAATGTCTGTGCGAGCTTAAGGAATTTGATTTTGGAGCCCTTTAAATGACCCTGTTTTATCGGGCGTCGGTGGATATTAATTTGGTCATAGTCTGTGTGTCAGTGTCGGCAACCCAAGGGTACCCCAGTTGGTAATTACCAATAGGTCCAAAAAAGTACCGCACAAGAGATGATAGAGGTAAGTGGAGCAGCTTTCTCAAATTCATGACTGATGATTTGACAACACAGCTAATGAACACGATCAAATCATACTCATCCCATGTAAACTACCTTGAACTTCACATGTTTTCCTTGTTTTCTGTCGTATTCGTCACTTTATTCCAAGCTTTTTATGTTATTGAGATTTTTATGCAGTGATACATATAGTTTCAGTGGTGGATAGGGGCCCACTCGTTTGCTGAACAATTATATATGTCTGGTTTAGACTGTGATAACGTAACAGCAAAAATGGCTATTGTCACTGTCCCAAAACATTTTAAAATTTTTAACTTTATGTTTTTAAAGGTTTAAAAGAAAAGATTTATTGATGCCGCATGTAATGAAATTGAGATACAGTATGAGATATTTAATCTTTAAAGTAGTTCTAAGTGAAATTTAAAAAAAAAAAAAAAAATTAAGAGTCAAAATGTCATTTGCCAACAAAAAATTCATTAATATTTTTTTTGTTTCGGTTTTCTTTTTGGGTGGAAATAGAAAATTTGGAAGGTGCACTTAGTAATAAGACTGTAATTTTTCTGTTAATAATATTATTTAAATTTAATTTATTGACATAATTAATTAATTTAATTTATTGGAGTGATAACGAATTTTGATAAATATTAGAGTTCATTATTAATTTAATAATTATAAATAATTAAATTAATAAATTAAGTTAAAGTAGTATACGATATCATATTTCACATAACTTTTTACTTTGTAGGCCACCCATGTTGCCTTTTGCTGGACAAACCAATAGTACTTTTTTAGAATGTTGTGGCTGGGCCCCTCGATGCATGCAATGGCTCTGGTTCTTCATTCATGTGCATCCAGCTTGTTGCCCACACCTTTTTCAATGTGATCATTTCCTAGGCCTACGACTAAAGGTCCATTAATGGTATTTCATTCAAATGATGTAGCTCGGTAACAAAGCGTATTTGTCGTCGCTTCATTATGATTTGTAATTCTTAATTATCGCCGGATGAGTTCTAGCAATTTCTTCTTTTTTGTTGATAGGATTTGAAGGCACTTCTTGACCGTGGTAAGAAGCTACATTTTCCTGATGGAATTCTTATCAATGGACGTGGGCCCAATGGTACCTCTTTCACTGTTGATCAAGGTAGGTAAACCACCCCTTTTCCTCCTCCTCTCCAAAAAAAACCCACCAGACATAACCCAACCTATAATCAATATTTGTCTTAGAGGCATGAAAGTCATGATTTGCAACCTCCTAATTTAAAGTGCTCTAAAGTAAAATGGATTTGTTTGAGTTATTAAGAAACGAATATAATGTTTGATAATTGAACAGAGTTACTCGAGTTTGGCTCAGAGCCAATTAGTTTTGGACTCGTTTAGGCTTGGTTCGTTTTTTTTAGAATCATTTAAAAAACGAGTTCGACAAACTCAGCTTGAACTTGACAGCTTTGACTCATTTATATGTAAATATTCGGGTTTGACTCAAATTCAACTCGTTTATGTGTAAATATTTGGGCTTAATTCGTTTTTGAACTCATTTAGATTTGACTCATTTTTTAAACAAGTCGAACAAGAATATTTTTTTTGGTTTGTTTTAAAAAAGGGCTCGACAGGTTTAAGTTAAACTCATTCGGGCTTCTTCGATTATCAATGCTGTTGACTATCACCAACAATGATTTGGGTGGGGTTAATTAGTTATACTAGTGTAGACATGATTTGGGATCTTTTCTCGCCATTCACATGATGGATCCTTCAGCCTTGGCTCTTTCTCTTCTCTCAAAGAAAAAGTCTCAATCCATTGTTGTACAGAAAGAAAGAAAAAACTAAACAGACCATTATATATTCATGAAAATTAGAAATCATGTCTCAGCAAAAGCCGTATTCTCCATGACAGGAAAAACTTACAGGCTTAGAGTATCAAATGTTGGATTGCAAAACTCGCTCAACTTCCGTGTTCAGGGTCACAAATTGAAGTTGGTAGAAGTGGAAGGAACACACACACTCCAAATTAGCTACTCCTCATTCGATATTCATGTTGGCCAATCCTACTCCTTCCTATTAACAGCAGATCAACCAGCTCAGAACTACCTCATTGTTGTGAGCTCGCGTTTCACCACCCCGATCCTCACAACCACTGGCGTTCTTCGTTACAACAACGGTGGTGGCTCATTTTCTAATCTACCTACTGGTGGTCCGACAATCCAAGTTGACTGGTCACTAAACCAAGCCCGTTCTATCAGGTACTGATCTTCAGTCCATTTATTAATGTGCATATGTTTAATGTTTGTCTCATATCGGTTATACTAAGATGCTTTTCTATTCTCTTATACTATAAATACACCTTCTCATATATATGAAAAAGTACACCAAAGTAATATACATTTGATTTTCTATTGTCTTCTTCCACACCATTTATTCCCCATTTTTGTATGACGTACTGTAGAGGGCAAGTTTACAACATATTAATCCGGATCATTTCTGTGACAGGACGAATCTTACAGCAAGTGGACCAAGGCCTAATCCACAAGGTTCATACCATTATGGTATGATAAACACCACCAGGACTATCAGGCTTGCCAACTCTGCTGGTCTCATCAACGGCAAACAGAGATATGCAGTAAACAGTGTGTCTTTTGTGGCAGCTGATACTCCTCTAAAGCTTGCAGACTACTTTCAGATTGGTGGTGTTTTTCGTGTTGGAAGTATATCTGATGCCCCTACGGGTGGAGGGATGTACCTTGACACGTCCGTAATGAATGCTGACTACAGAGCATTCATTGAAATAGTATTTGAAAACCCGGAGAATATCATGCAAAGTTGGCATCTCAATGGCTACCAATTCTGGGTGGTAGGGTAAGCATCAAGCTATTATCTACAATATATGAATTCCTTGCTTGACCTTGTGTCGATTACTTCTTGGTTACCACGTCTGAGAGGTTGAAATATCCCTGTTAAAATGCAGAATGGATGGAGGGCAATGGACTCAGGCCAGTAGGAACGAGTACAATCTCCGAGATGCGGTTGCACGGAGCACTATTCAGGTGATATGACAATAACTCCAACCCCTGATATATTGTTGCTTCGTCCAAATTAATGGCCATGTATTTCCTGCTATAAAGTATTTCAGAGAAAAATAACTGAAATTCATGCTTGATGAGTGCAGGTATACCCCAAATCATGGACTGCTATTTATATAGCACTTGATAATGTGGGAATGTGGAATTTGAGAACCGAGTTTTGGGCGAGACAGTACCTTGGACAGCAGTTTTACCTGCGTGTTTACACAAAATCAACTTCAATCAGGGATGAATACCCCATTCCAAAGAATGCACTTCTCTGTGGCAGGGCGAGCGGCCGGCACACACGACCCCTCTAAGCTGCCGAAGCATAGGCTATTCCACAACGGGGCTAGGGAAAGCTTGCCTAGCTTAAAAGCATTAAGAGCAGAGTTATGGAAGTAGTAAGAGTAAGAGGCTTGATTATATAGTCTTTATCCTTGGGGTGCTATATCAGCACTAATGTTAAGAGTAGGACCATTTTATGAACGTGTAGAACTTTAAATGACCTTAGCTCAAGGTCACATTCTTTTGGTTTCCACTCCAGATTGTATTTCCTTTGCTATTGTTTAAGGTTTATACCACTATTATAAAAATTAATTGGTTTTTCAAAACTGGCTCAGACATTTTTACGGTCGTTTTACGTGTGCATGGTATCATACAAACGTGTCAATCTCTCGCTTCTCGTTTAATCAATCTCACACTTTTTTTTTTAATCACAGATGTTGTATATCAATATCAAATATTGTTCATCTTATAAATGATTAAATATTGAAAATTAATTATTTTAAATTTGTCAGGCAACTGTTGCTGAAGGAATACTGTATGCTGCTATACTGCCATTTATTATTGCAATCAAGTTCAGGAAATTGACTATAGAGCTGGTATAGAGGTAGGTGGTCAGTAAATGTTCTCGGAACTCCCAGTCCCAATCCCAAACCCCTCCGGTGAAGAAAGTTGGTCTCTAAGTAACTCCCGAAAGGGTTGCCATCCGAATCGGGGCGGAGCTAAAAATTTTGTTTAGGATGGACACTATAATTTTCTATATGATTACAAGTATTACAAAAAAATCTAAAATTTCATACAATATTCATAAAAAACTTAAGAAAATATGATATATCATAATCAACTAGCAACTCAGCCGATTAAAATATTAAATCAATACCAAATTTCAACAATTTGGAATCCATCTCAAGTTTTGGGGATGAATCTTAACCCAATTCTATTGAATCGCAACTCGATATATTTAACTCGTAACTTAATCAAGTTTTAATTTTTTGAACAATACTCAGATTTTAAAAATATGGGTCTAGAGTTTTTTTTTATTTCGTGTGGGCTTGCTTTTTTTTTTTTTTTTTTTTTTGTGGAGTTGGTGAGCCTAGCATTTTTATTTGTAGTTTTAAGTTACAAGTGATATATATATATATATATATATATATATATAATCCATCAGATAACTGTTGGATGTTTTCAAGGTTAGCGGTAGTGTTTTCACTTTCCTTATTATAGTTTTCATTTTCAACTGTCCATGATTCTGGAAGTTGAACATTTTTCCATTCAAGTCTTTTCGGGACTTGGATGTTAGATTCACTAGTATTAGCTTGAATGAGCACTATTTTATCTTTAGGATGCTTCTTAAGTACATGTATATTTAGGTTTGTAGTCATGCATTTATAATATATTCTATAGATAAGTACTAGAGATTGGGTCTCTTTTACCAACTTGGTAATCTAACCTGACAATTTTATACCTAAGGTTAAAGCCATAGGTGTGTTCTTGCAGCCAAGGCTGAGGGTAAAGTCTGGAAAGCAGTTGAAATAAACTGATCCATTATGGAGACCAGTCTCCATTATTCCTAAAATGCTAAGTTCATATTCTATGAATCTGACATCTCTTAGGGTTAATAGAGTTGTTGCATCTTTACCAGGTGACATTAATGGTTTAATTGCTACTTGAACTAAACCAAGGTGGATAAAATTAAAACATTTTTCCCTATGTTTCTTTAGGGCTTCTTTACTAATTAATTGACAAGTTTCTTTCTCTTTGCTGAGAGCATAAACTTGTTCAATTGTTTTAACTTGAAGTTCTGAGTTGAATGCTTTTGGAATCCAACTCGTCTCGTAAATGTTACGATGAGATACTTTTGGGATATTCCATCCACTCCAGTCTACTTGTGACTCATGGTGTTCTTCTTCTTCCTCATTTACTATATTAGGTATAGTACTAAATGAAGAATTAGATGAGCTAGTCATAGAGTTAGATATGAATAATTTACTCATTGTTAAATCTAATTTTTCAATTTTGTAAATTAATGCTTAAGTTTGACTCCATTGTACATACCCCCCCTAACATACATGTTCTCATGATATGTCTCTGTTTTTCCTAAACTGCCTACATTCGAGGACTTACAAACGGGACAAGAATGAGACTACCCCTCTTGAGCTGACAAAGGCTAGGTGTAAAACTTCTAGTCAACCCACTTCCTATGAAGAATCTAGCAAAAAGCCCAGAAAATTTTATAAGCATAAAACTTATAAGAAAAAATCCAGGGAAAAAGCTAATAAAAAAGATTCTACTATAACTGTGGCAAAAAAGGTCATAAAAGCCCAGACTGTCCAGTTAAAAAACAAAACAAAAGATTAAATTTAACCCAAGAAGATGAAGAAAAAATTCTCAACATTTTTAGGTTAAATAATCTTCCCAACAATGAAGAAAGTTCAGATGACTTAGGAAGCTCTGAAAATTCTTCAGATTACCAATCAGCCTCCAGTAACCCTAGTGAACCTAAAATCAAGTTAGGTTGTAAAGATAATTGTCTCTGTAAAACTGTTAGGGTAATAACCAAACAGAATGAGAAAGAACATATTCTTATTGAGTTAATTAGTAAAATTGAAGACTCAGACTTAAAGGTCAAATATATCAAAAAATTAAGAGATTTGTTTATTAATAAATATACAAAACAATTTTCTAATAAAAAATATTTAATTAGTATTAACACCACAATGGAAAGATTTAGTAAGGAGATAAAGAAAGAACTCACTTTACAAGATCTCCAAATGAAGTTAATAAAATAAAATCTGAAATAAAATAACTAAAAACTCAAGACAAAAAACTTGCAGAAGCTTTAAGTCTTTTAACAACAGATAGTTTTGGCCACAAAGGACTTTACTCCTGAAAAACAGCCACTAGTTGAAGAACAATCTGAGACAGAATTTAAGGATGGAACAGAATTACAGAGGATACCCATGACCTCCACCTCTTTAGTGGATTCTTTGGGTGTAACGAATCTGTCATCTCACGATGGATGTTCCTAGGTCAATGATAATCATAGAATCAATATAGTTAATAAAATTATAGTCTTCTCCTCTGTTTATCGACCTAATAAACATGAGAGTCAGTTTCTTATTTTACTAACATTTATTTGTAGGTACAAAGTCCCATGAATATGCATATGAAAATTCAGTGAAAGCAGTTCCTCTGCATCCTCACAGGCATCAGTCACTCCTATATTGGATCCCTTCCAAGATAGCTAGGATCCCTATGCAGGGTATGATGATTTGGTAGATATATCTATCCCATAATGGTACTTGTCCATATGTGTGATAGGTTCCCTCACTACTTCCTTCATTAAAAAAAGAAAAGTTGTCTATTACATATATCGATAAGAAATCATTCGGTACAACGACCCTTTCCTCTAAAAGTAGCCGACAGTCCTTGTCCAGATCTGTTTTTCACCGAAAGTAGATTCCTTCAGACAAACAACAGGACCCACCTGTCACTAAAGTCGGCATTTCCTTTGGTAAAAGTAATTCACCTCTACTTTCCACCGAAAGGTTAAGGTGAAAACACTTTATCCAAGATAAAACAATTTCAAAAGACAACGGAGTAATCATTTAGAATAATTCATTTTCCTTCCTAATCATGAGTAACTGGTGATCTACTGGAGCAATGCTTTGTAAGTCACTGGCTGTAGGTGAAGGAGTGAAGTCATCTTCTTCCTCTTCGTTCCTATGACTGGTTTGTGGAACACTCTGATGTGGAGTGTAACACGATCTACTAATTTGTAGTGTGGAATTATCGATTCCTTTTAGTTTAAATTTTCTTTCTATTTCTTCTGTTAATTCCTTATCTCTTTTGGAGATACTAGAATAAACATTAGATTTTCTACCTTCATTAATCTGGATAGGCTTGCTAAATGACCTGCTGGATCTGGCAGAATCAAAAGTTTGGTTGATAGCTGTTACTTGAGATGGACCAGATTTGGATTCTTGTCTAGAGATATTTCTTCAATCTTTTGGATTGTTTGCTTATCTTTTAATACTAAACCGAATCTATCTTCAGGTAAATTAATTAGAGGTTTCTCTAATTTTTTGGAAGGTGGCTTGATTTCATCGATTTTAGTCTTAATTTTATCAAGCTGTTTTCCAATAATTATTAAACTTTGGTTGGTGAAATTATTTTGTTCAATCATCTTTGTGTCAGATTCATTAGTAGGTTTCTTAAAAGGAGAAGCTTTAACTTTTGAATTTCGATGATCAACTAAAATAGTTTCTGCTGGATGATGACTAGATGATTTTATAGAATTATCTAGTGTTTTCCATTTATGTTTTGTTACAACTTTTACTTCTGGATGATGAGTTTCTAGATAATCAAAAAATAGAATTTTTAATTCTATTTTGTGCATCAATATTACCCATTGTGTCATTATTTCTTTTTGTTGAATATTAGTGAATCTTTTAAAGTACTTTTGTCTTTTAGATTCATTTTCAACAGAATCAAAATCTTTTTTTAGTTTAATCATATTGGGTATCTTCTAATCTTATGGGCAAAGAGATTAGGTAGGTCATTGACAAATTTTTCTTTCCAGAAAAATTTATCGTAATCTGGCCTAAGCATAACTCTAGAGATGAATATATCTTTGTACCATCTAAAATCACTAAGTGTTGGGCACCTAAGGTTACTAAGCTAGTCATGGACTCTAGCTTCAATGTTGCTGGGTGTGCCAACAAAATGTTTAATTATGGTAAAGATGAGGGTGTTAATCCCATCATCTTTTGCTCTACCAATTCTTTCATTGAAAACTGACATGTCTTCATCATCAAGAACAACAACATGCTTGAAATACAAAGCTCACCATCCCTATACACTATCCTCATATTGTAAAAAGTTTTTATAATAATGCAAATGAAGAGCCTTTTACTCCTATCCCATTACATCCACTAACCCATTAGTGTTAGTGTTGTAAGTATTTTATTTCTGTTATTGTAATTTGTATCTTGTTCAAATAAACAAGATTTTATTTATCCATTTTCTATCTATAACTTGTGATTCTTCTCATGTCTGTTATTATTCCGCACTTGTTTCTTAATTTGATATCAAAGTCATTTGACAGCCTGGATAGTTATCCGTGCGGTTATATTTTGAGTTATCTTACTTATGTGTAAGATTTCTTTCATTTCAGTTTATATATATACTAGTCATAACCCGTGCCTGAAGGCACAATAAAATATAAAATTCGAGCGATCGAAAAATCGATTTCATTATATTAAATTTTTTCAAAATATATGATACAAATGAGTTATGTGATATTTTAAGGAGAAAATATATAAATGATTAAATATGTGATAGAAATGAGTGATACGATTTGACGTTTGAATCTGACAAAGGAATGATGGGTGAAGTAAGTGATTGATGATGGTTTTGAGGGAAAAAATATGACTGAGATAAAATTTAAACACACTTTTATTTTATTATATAGATATATATATAATAAAAAAAAAATTGAGGGGCACTTGCCCACCCTAAAGCATACATAATTCCGCCTATGCGTCCCATAACTATACGAAAGTGACGAAATTGTTTTGACTGCGGAACCATATCCGCCTATCGGAGCGAATTGAGTGATTGGGCCGAGGGCTGCCCCCTCTTCCCATTATACTCTCCTTTTCTGATATGAACCTTATGTCGGTCCAATGCAGTAAAACTTCATTTTTATTGGAAGGAAGACAATGACAAGACTTTATTCCTTCAAGTGATATTTGATATGTTGACATCTAAGTTTGACCTCTTGAAAAATAAGGGTAAAATTATTGAGTGTTTTTTTTCCTAATCAATAAAAATAAAATAATATACTTAGATTTATTGCATTGTATTTGTTACTTAAAATTCATAAAATACAAAAATGATCAAAAGTCAATATAAACAGAGTATACAAAAAAAAAAGATTAATTACGCTCGTTCACAACAAATTCAACTAATTGTATAAAAGATATTATAGTCTTCCTCTACATAACCAATTAAACTATTATTTACTGATCACTTATTCAGTTATGCAACCATAATCTCTATAACTAAAAAAATGAGTCTGACATGTCAAAAACTTATCTATATACATTCATAGATTATCTAAAGAGTATCCAAAAATTCATAGTTATTTAGGTATGAGACCATACTAATTGATAGAATAAAAAAAATAGAGTGAACACATTTAAATATATTTACAATTATTTAAAATATACATAAATAATATTTTTTTCAAAAAATTTAAGATGGGCCTCAGCCCAATATGGGTCCGGTGCACTGAGTTTTTTTTTTTTGGATCAGAGGACAAATACAACATTTTTACTTAAAAACAAAATTGTGTATAGCGACCATATAACCCACACACACTAAGTTGAATAATTAGTTTCTTTGATTGAATTTTTTCATGTTAGGTCATATTTCCTAACTATTAAAAGACAACAAACTCTTTTTGTGGTGGCCTTGTATTGAGAAGATCGGATTTGTCTCATTGAATTTGACAAAACATTATCTCGTAAATAGAGTAGGCTGATCAGTGGATTAGATTCGAATTTCTATAGGCACATCTTTTTCGCGAGGGGTTAAACTTACTTTTTAATATTTAAAGTTTACGATAAGATTTTAATTTCGATTCCCCGACATAAGTGTAATAAATTTTTTTTATAAATAATTGTACAGTGTTGAGGGAATAAATATGTAGAATAACTTACCCTTATAAATATGAAAAAAAATAAAAAAGGTTGGTGGGTGGGAGAAGGAAAGATGTGATGGGGTCATTGTGTCATTGTTCACAGATTTATTAGGGCATGTCTAACCTTAATTCAAATCTAAATTTAAGTAAAAAATTTTAAAAAATTTGCCCTAATTAATACTCAAACTTATACCAAATTAAGAGATACTCTTTTTTTTAACTCAAAGGCTTAAATTCTTACCCAAATTTTTAATTGTGAGATTTTACCATCTTTTAAAGATTCAATGATCAATTTTACTCTCATTTAATTTTAAATTTATCCTCTTTTAAATTTAGATTTTTCCTTCTTTAAATTGAAATTTGTCCATTGAAATTTTTTATATCAAATCAATTTTTTTAGTAAAATATTAATTTAAATTTGAATAAGAATTTGGCTCTCATGGAGGTTAGTAATTTACGGTTTATTTCCATTACCACTTCGACTAGAATATTCAGGATAAGTCTGGTTTACGGTTTGCCTTATCTATTGAGCTAGTGAGACGATAATTCATGGCCCGAACTATAAAATCCCCCAATCCAGCATTCCAAGACGATCGCGTTAGTTCAACAATCGGAAGCAAAGTAAGTCAAGAATCATCTTTTCTTCTACTCTGCTTTTTTGGATAAATTCCTCATAATTTTTCTTCGTTGCACTTCTTTTTCGGTACTGGTGTTCTTCGATTTATGATAATCACCTTTAGTTTAACCTTATGATACTCTACTTTGAAGATTTTTGAAGGTTTCTTCTTTGAACTCTAGGAGCTTTCATGGGGGACAGTTCGGTGATTGATCCTGCGGCTATCATTTCTCACAAATTCCCCGAGGTACGAAGTTCTATTTCTATTGAATCGTCGTCAAGTGTTACTGATTTTTTTAGGAACTTGATTACTTTTTGAGGTTGAATCATTAGCTTTTATTTTTTTGAGACTGTTCGTTAATCTGTTTTCAATCTATGATGTTGCATATATGGGATGGGATTGCAGACTACGTACACCTATAATGAAAGGTAAAGCCCTAAACTTTTCCAGCACTTACGGTGCTTTTTCTTGGAATGATACACTTGCTATGAACATGTGTATTCTGTGTAATTTGTGGTCGTTCAAAACTAAGAGTGATATGTGTTTACCTATAGTGAGTCAAATTATGTTTCTTTGTGCGAGTAGAGATACTGCCCTCTATGCCCTCGGTGTTGGAGCGTGTTTAAGGGACGCCTTGGATGATAAAGAGCTCAAATATGTTTATCATCAAGATGGGCAGCAATCCATTCAGGTAATGCAATGGTGTTATAAGAAACTTTGGTCTAGAGAAATGGTTTTGGGATAGTGGATCTCTCATTTATGGGAATGATGGCATTCATAGAATTACACTGTTGTCTTGTGAGAACTTTCTACTTTGTAGGTGTTGCCAACATTTGCTGCTTTATTTTCTCTTGGAATTACTTCAAAAATTGCACAGCTACCAGGGATGGTGTAAGTACATACACATCTGAAAAGTTGGGTTTCATTTCCATATGTATTACAATACTATTCATCTTTACTTTTTCTTAATGCATTTTACTTTTAGGGTGAGATAGTAATGTGTTAGATCACACTTTTTTAATACAAGTTCCACATACAATCTCAGTTCCATATAGTGGCTAATGGAATTTGTGGCTCTTATGTACCAGATATGATCCACGTCTTCTATTGCATGGACAACAATACATAGAAATCTACAAACCGCTTCCTTCTAGTGGTTGTGTAAGGTTCTTGACCATAACACACGGTGCATGCGCCTTAACCTGCATACTTGTTTATTTTTGTGCTCTTTTTTTTTATAAGAATTTTTTGTGCCTCTTTTACTTAGCTTGAGAAAATCATATAGCAGTAGCAGCTTTGTGTCTTCTTGAAGCTAAGATGTTGCTGTTGTACAGTAACTTAATGATGGGAAAATTTTATTGCTGTATAACTAGAATTCAAAGATTTACCTGAGAATGCTTATGAGATTAAAGAACAGTGAAAACATGAGTTTATTCACGGGAATTTTTTTCTTCACTAATTTTGTTGTTGAGGATGTGGAACTGAACTCCAAGTTGTGAGGAGAAGAGTCTTCTTCCTGTAGATGGATTACAGTTTGCCCAAGTATTTGCCTTGCCTTTCCAACAATGAAGAGTCTCAACTCTAGTGCACTCTCTCTTTTGGGAATTCTTGCAATTGATTTTAAGACAATTCAACAAATCCACCTTGAGTTGTATGAGCTCATAGAACTAGAAAAATTGGAGAATATGATGGCGAAGAAGATGTTTTAATGCATTAAGTTACTGTACTTATCAAGAATACTGATCATATATTAAAATACAACAAATGTCGAAGGATTAAGATTAAGATCCCTCTGAATTTTATCATGTGTTTACCAACATTAGATTAAGATAACATCAACTTATAGATAAACAAGAGAGAAAATAAATGATCAAACCAGCAGTGTGAGGACAGCTTTACAAATTTAATTTCATCCAGGAGCTTTCACTTCTTAGTTGCTTTGTTAATTTTCATGATATTTTGTGTTTTCCCTTAACGAGAAATTTCTAAAGAGAAATTAAGAAGAGAGCTTTGTGCTGCTAAGAAAGCATCTCTGCATAGCTCGAGATTCGAGAATAATACAAAATAAAACATCTCAAAATGCTATAGGTACAAGTTAATGTTGGTATTAAATCAACTAGTTTATTCTCTCCGCTCAGAATCGTCTGCATTGATAGTTTTTCTTTCTTTCTCTACCTTTGTTTTTTCATGTGAAGAAATTTTAAGACTTAGTTATTTGTATATTTGTTATTCTTCCTCTTCATTAAGCAATAACAACTTTTTCTCTTTAATGCTATTGATGCAGATACAAAACAAAGTAAGCGTCTCAGGATTGCATGATAAAGGTTTGCTTGGAAACAAAATGTTAATTTGCTTGGAAAGAAAATATCAACGATTAATATGCAAAGGAGAAAAATAGAAATAGAGTTATTCTTTTCTTCCTGCAGGTAAAGCAACCATTCTTGAGTGTGAAATTGTAAGTTATGAAAAAGACACTGGCGAACTGCTATGCATGAATCGGTAAGTTAACATTCAAATGGCTGATATGTTATAGCTGTCAGTATGTAGTTGACACTGCATAGATGTTACTCTGCAGGTCAGCTGTTTATTTGAGGGGTGCAGGTGGCTTCTCAAAATCATCTCTCCCATATTCATACTCCAAGTATCCATCCAACCAGAATTTAGCTTTTAAAATTCCAAAAAGTCAACCTTTTGCAGTATTTGAGGATTGTACCCAACCATCTCAGGCATGTAGCATTAATTTCATGCTGAAAATTATACTCTGAACTAGTTATCTTCTTTATGCCAGCGATTGTATGTTATAATTCATATGCCATTTCCATGCCTTTTAAACATCATTTTATGACATGCGCATAAATCCATGCCCATTGCTTGAAGCGTTACCCGTGTGAATTCTTACAGAGTATACCATATCTGTAGATGGATGGTGATTTTGCTTTGTTGCTTATGAGTGATATGCATCTGCATGAATTGACCCACGATCCTTATTCCTTATATATGCAGCCACTCTGGACATGCATTGGGACATGTAGATAATTCTTCTTGGGTAGATGTGTTGATCTAACAGCTGAAAACTTGACGTTGTCCTTTTGAAGACCACAAATGCTGATGCTTTTGTATGGTTTTTCCATAGATCCTGAACCTATTGGATGCTGTTTTGCAGGCATTGCTTTACAGGCTCTCTGGTGACTATAACCCTTTGCATTCAGATCCTATGGTTGCAGAAATTGCAGGGTTAGTGCATCAGTTTTAGAGCTGGATATTCTTATTTTGTTTCATTACTGCTATCTGTATTACTGTTATATGTCTCAATTTTTAGGATAGATAGGCTTTCACAATTTTGGAGCTACTCATTGTGCTCCTGGGTGTGCTCCATTTGCCTTTGGTTTGCCTACTTAGTGAGTTGTTTGTATTGATTAATGTACAATAGATCTTGTGCATTGCTGTGTTCTTGATTGTTTGCACTACTTAGTGGCCAAGGGTGCTGTAGCGCTGGGATTCAATCATGGAATATGAAAGGATGGGCAAGCTTAGGAGTTAGTTTTTCACCGTTGATTGTGGGAACTTATAAAAAAAGTACTTGAAAACTCTTTTTAGGATTTGTCCTATTTGGACTTAGAATTGGTCAGCAGGTGTGCGTGGGTGCATGTGCAAGGAGGAGTCATTTTTTTGAAGGGGGTTTAACCACATCACACATAAAACAACTTTTGGGACGGGAAGTATCTCATTTTTTAAAGATCCTTGCATGGGGAAAATAGTGACAAATTGGTCTTAATCATTGAAACATTTTAACAGACCAAACTAATCTACCATATGTAAGGCTACTCCCCACTTCATGGACTGTACAATTATTTAACTATCATCTGGTTTCGTTTTGTCCATAGAAGGCACCTTTACTACAATGGATCGAAGAAGAATATGCGTACCATGATGTTTGCCAAATATAACTAGTGTGAATTGCTTTTGAATCAATGAATGATGTCATTTTTTTGGAGTTTTGTTCTTCCTCTAGTCTTTCTTTTGAGAAAAAGAAAGGGACTTCCCATGAAATTATTACCATTCCACTTTGTTGTATGCACAACCAAAAAACTCTGCTCATGCACTATTCAAAATAAGTCCATTTTCTTCGTCATTGTAAATTGAGTATCTTTTTGGAAATTTCAAGAACCCGTTTGTTTTTTAGTTCTCTTTTTCCCTGATAATTTGTAGTTTTGGCACCATCTTCTATGAAAAAGAGCAACATGAATTTATCTCATCTTCGTTGGTCAGTCAACCTTGCTTCAGGATTTTGAAAGTAGGAAAGAGAACTTGTTTATCCACTATTTTGCTTTAGTTGATTTATCTTGTTTACTATGCCAAAGATTTTCTCGGCCAATACTGCATGGACTGTGCACACTTGGCTTTGCAGTCAGAGCTATCATCAGATGTATCTGCAGAGGAGATCAGAACTTGATTAAAAGCATATCAGGCCGGTTTCTCTTACATGTCTACCCTGGTGAAACTTTAATCACTGAAATGTGGCTTGAAGGCTTGAGGTAGAGTTCTTTTCATTTTCTTGCCATAAAATGAATTTGATTTTTGCTTAGAGAGGACTTACAGGAGTTGGAATGTGCAGAGTTGTATATCAGTTGAAGGTGAAGGAACGAAACCGGGCAGTGCTTTCTGGCTTTGCGGATCTCAGTCATTTAAGTTCATCTCTGTGAATTCTCATGCTGTATACCAAACAAGAAGCCCTTCTCTCTTAATAAATTCAGGATGTTGGAGTTTAGAGTAGTATTGTTGTTGAGAAGCGATAATTACATGATACTCTCATTGTATAAAGGTTGTACTCGTTGCACGAGATGTCTGTTTATAACGAGGTTTGTGGGTAATAAGTGATAAACAATTTTACATTGTATATGCTCGTAAGTAAATTATTTTGCCATTTACTAATTCGGATGCATTCTTGCTGAAATGAAATCAAAAAGTCCCATACACCGTAAAGCCTCCAACCTTGTGAGTCGTGGATTCAGATTTTTTCATTGATATATAATTTATCCTATTTTTTACTTCATTAAGTCGTTATTTTAATTTATTTGAATCGTAATTTAATTTGATTGGATTATAATTAATCATGCGCAAACTATATCATACTCATCGTCAGATAACGGCGGTGATCAATTTGCCTGATGACCAAAACAATCAAAATAGGTCTGTTGTTTAATGGCTGCTAAAACTAGGCGTGATGAAATTTGTGGGATGCATTCAGATGTTAGGAAGGCCCACTGCTTTGACGGGCCAGATCATTTTGCACTTTTTTGGTTTAGATCACGCTGAAGTATTAGCGTTAATGATGTAGTAGCGCGTATCCTATAAATTCACCAACTTTCTCTTCCACGGCGCCGTTCCAACTCTCGTAATCGTTAACGAGACAGAGAGAGTGGAGACAAAACAGAGTGAGAAGCTGCCGCCACTTTCATACAGCCTAACCAGTGAACTTCTATTCGAGATGGCAAACGATACCGAAAGTGCGCATGTTATTAACGGCAGCGACGAGGCGCACGTTAGCTGCGCCTCCTCCAAGGAGGAGGAAGAGGTGAAGCTTCTCAGTGACGTCGTCCGTAGGCTGCCTTCTCACGCGGTGAAAGACTTGTTATCTATTGGGGTTAGTTACTTTGTCAAATAGATTCCTTCGCATCAGAGGCTATGTTTCTTTTTCATTGAGCAACTCATCAAGTTCATTATATACATGACATCGATACTCGAAATTACGCAGCAGTTTAAACAAATTGTTATCCAATTATATGCTTCGTATGGGAACTTGATTTTGTTGGTTTAGGGAAAATATGGGGAAGAGTAAGAAAAATTTGGAAGCTTTCAGGCCTCCATTGCCAATCCGCCTCGAGTTTTTTTGGCAATCGAGCAAATATTTTGTGGTTATACTTCAACGAATTCATCTAGGTTCAAATCTATTCGTCTCTTTTACCTCAATCTATTGGTTGTTTTGACTCATTGCAATAGCTTTTCCTTTGCATATGGTGAAGAAGCAGGGTGAACATCCTTTTTTTTTTTTTTATCTTCCCCTTCTTAGTCTTTCAAAGATCCAAACAGCCTATTTACGGACAAAGAAGAAAGAAGGGTCCAAAATGGTGGCCACAAAATTTGTATAGTAATGATTTCTGTGACAAATTTCTAAGCCATTTATCTTTAGGCCATGCAAAATCTATGAATCGCCCAAAGTGCCTTGTTTTATCTTCAATTAGTCACAGGTGATGATTGTAGCTGTAGACTATCTACTACATTTATATCACAGTGAATAGATGGAATTTAACTTAATAAGAGAAGAAATCAAAACCAGGAAGTAGTAAAATTGAAGATCAAGAGACATCAAAGAATGAACACTTTAAATATTTAGGGTCTATTATTCATAGAAAGCGTGAGATTGACAACGATATTATGCATAGAATTAATGTTGGATGGATTAAATGAAGAAATGCATCCGGTGCATTGTGTGTTAGACGTATACCCCTTAAGCTAAAAAGAAAATTCTATAGAACGATCATAAGACTCGCTATACTTTGCGGTACTGAGTGTTGGGCAACTAAGAAATATCATGTTTAAAAGTTGTGTGTTAAAGAAATGAGAACGTTAAAAATGATGTATGGTAAAACTAGAAAAGATAGAATTATGAACAAATATATCTGAGAAAAAATAGTGTTAGCACATATAGATAATAAGTTATGGGAGAATCAATTTAGGTGATTTGGACATATTTATAAGCGGTTTACTACGACATTGGTGAGAAAGAGTGATATGATAGTTATTGAAGGTAACATAGGGATAGACAAAGACCAAAATTAATTTTTAAATAAAATAGTAAAGAAAGATATCATAACTTATGGTTTAACTAAAAACATTGCCCTTAATAGAGTTCAATGCTGGAGCGGGATTCATGTAGCTGACTCCAAAAACGTTGGGACAAGTCTTTGTTGAGTTGAATAAATGGAATTTTGTATGTTCTGTATAAAACATGTTGAGTTTCATGATATTTCCTTTATTCTGTGGACTCCATTTTTTTTAAAGCAAAATTTGGGTCTTGTCTTGTACATTTTTGCAGATGCTGCATTTGGGTAGTTTTCTCATTATTTAATAGTGATGCAGGTGTGCGTTCGATGCATCTTCAGAGTCTTTGGCATCCATCAATGTAATTATTCTTTCCCCTTGATGTCGTCACCAACTCTGTGTGCTATTCTTGGAAAAGCAATGGAATCCGAAGGAGATACAGTAGATAATGGTTATAGAGCACATGAAGACTCAATCTGTCTATACTCTTCTGAAGAATTAGAAATGGACATTAAATTATGTAGAGTTTGTTTGGGTATCTTGCAATATGTTTATATAGATGAGAAAGAGATGATGATTAAGAGGGATAGTGGCAATGACTTTGCCATTATTATTGCCGATGTTGTAAAGCAAGACGGCCATGAAATCAACAACTTCTCTCTTGAAGTCTCCTTACCAAAGGTTGTCATGGAAAATGATCGAGCTATTTGGTTAGTGTTTTCTGTTGATTAGTGATTTGGAAGTTTTTGATGATACATCCTATTAATCTTGCATGTTATGATATCTCAATGCAATTTCAAGTTACAACCAATTAAGGGTGTTCTTGTGCTAGTGGATTTTTTGTTGGCACCATCGAATTGGGTGCGAGAACCTTTTCCATCTCTATCTTGTGTTTATTTATCCTGATTTTATTTAATCTCAGTTTTGGATATTTTATGGTTTTGTCTGTGCTTCCAATATTTCTGATTTTCTTCTTTTTTTTTGGTTATTAATACTGTTGACTTCCACTTCTTCATTTTTTCCGTGCTGGGCCATTGCTATAAGAATTGTACCAAAGCATAGCAGGTAAAAATTATTTTTTCCATTTTCTGTTTTTCAGGTTGTATATGAAAAAGAATTATGACACCGAAGCTTGGTTTCAAGAGAAGTGTAAACCTGAATGCATTTCTGCAAAAGATGTATTCAAAATGTCTATAACAAATCCCCTTGAAACATTATTGGTAATTTGAAACTCTCCTCTCTCTCTCTAGTGACTTGTTAAATGCTGAAATGCCTTAAAGAGGACAAATTATGAGGTAGACAGTGTAGCCTCAAATTGCATTGAGTTTATAGGGAATGAGTAGAGTTAGGCCTACGGACTGATGGTCTACTTGATGAACTATCGGAAGGGCTTTATAATATCCGTTCCTCCATTAAAGCAAATAAAATGGTTGACTGATTCATTAGGAAATTTAAAATTTTGCAGGGGGTTAAATCTGGACTGAGCTCTTTCCGCATTCGTTTGACATACACCCACTACGATGCATCAACCCAGGTTCAAAATAGTATGGAGAGGAATGGATGCAAAAAGAAAAGGAAAACAGGCATGTTTCTTTTGTTTATGTCAACCCCATTCACTGTCTTTCTAATGAGATACTTTACTTTCTCCTTTGTTCATCCTGCTTGTACATTTGGTTAAAGTTTTGAATTTTCTGGACTTGGAATATTTGTTAAGGATCTGACTCCGAATTATGAGAAGTTCCATTTTTTGGGTAGTTCTGCAAAGACTTGCAAGGAAAAAGCATGCTTTCCTCCTTTTCTTGTTCTTTCTTTCCCTTTTTTCCTCTCCAGAAGTAGTGTTTCAAAGGTTACTGTTAACCAGTTAGAACTGCTCCGATTTCTTCTAAACTCATCCCCATCAAGCTCACATCAGCCCTATTACTTTTTCTTCTCTTTAGCCATCATCAGAATGTATCATTATCTATTTTTTGCAGAACTTGCAGTGCTCGATTTCTGAAATTCCAGCAACCTAGCTCTTAAAAAATTTCATTTTCATCTACCTATTCTAATCCCCGAAGCATGCCCATCCGAAAACCCACAAGTTCTCCTCGACCCATGCCCATCGAAAATATACTGCCTTGCATCATCGTTACTTGTACTCCGATGTTGTATTTTCATGGGTGATTTATGATTTTCAGACAATTTCATGCTTCATACACTGCTTGTAATGTCATATCCTCTGCTCCATGATGATTCTTTGTATTTGTCACCTATTTTGGGATTTGGCCATTAGTTCAACTGGCTAGAGCTTCCAAATAATAGTTCTCAAAGGAGTGATTGTTTTGCAAGAAAGTATAATAAGCAAAAATAGATTTAGGGGCTTGATTATAGACCAAAGCAATGGCAACCAATTTGAAGTTCTGGGTCTGAAGTTGTCTGTAATTTTGTATTTATATGATTATTCCTGTTGGGTTCCGCCTATATTTATTTCTCTGGAATGATTCTACCCCAAAAATTGAAATAATGACTGAAAGTCTGCTTGGTATAGTTTCCAAGAGTATTTTTTTTTTGCCATGCCAATGAATTTACTCCTGTGAAAATTTAAGTCTAGGTTCCCATTTGTTTTTACTATGTATTTTATTACCATAATAGAGATTCTGAAGCATTATGATTTCGGACACATGGTAACTAATATTAGTATTTTTTTTCGAAAATCCAGGAAAAATGATATAATGTGTTAATTCAAAACTGTTTGTCCAATATTAACACAGAAATGCTAGTATTAAGCAGTCTATTCCTCAACCAGCTTTTGCATGTGTGGGTGATTTGAAAACTTGCCTTCATCAAGTCGCTTTTTTACACATGGGAAGGACCAACTAATTTGATTGTGTATACAGAAAGTAGCAATTGCCCATGTGAAGATTAAATATCTGGATGTATATATGCCTTGTTTAGTTCACTAATTGGAACAATGATTTGTTGTTAGCCCTATAATGTTTCTCACAAAAATCACAGATTGAAGGAATGCATCATTTGCTGGCATTCTTCTTGTAAGATAGTCTTTTTAAGTAATTTTGATCAGAATTGGTCAAATATGATGAATTCTGACTTTGCTTCGTGCTAATTCAGTTTCTCAGTTAGCTTTTGGAATATGGAAATGCGCAATTGATTGGTAATAATTGAACAGGGACTGATGATGTCTTGGAGACCATTGATGGTTCTGTAGTTGCTGGCATAAAGTGCTCCAATTTTTTTGAAAAAGAACATGAACTCAGTAAATGCAAGTTGCAAGACCATGGTATATCTGATTGCTTCAATTTTCAGCTAGAGAAGGTATAGAGCCCCACAAATGATTGAGATGAATGATTACATGACTTCTGACGCCACTGCTCCATTGTTGTCAATTATTGAACTCATAAAATGTTGTTTTTAATAATAAGCATTGACCTCAAACTGTTCATGGTGTGAGAATTTTCTATGATGTTGTTTCTTGATAAGTTTGGGTTTTCTACCTGTTTAGGTCAACCAACCTTGCCGTTTGACATTTCTTTGCTGTAGGGCTCCTATCTATATTGGGGGCAGATACCTGAAGGTATGCTTCCTTTAATCCTTTCATTAGGTTGTATTTTTCAAGAGGACTCCCATGATTGAATCAGTTTCTAGGATGTCTAGATGGCAATTGACTATCCTCAGGGTATTATAACCAACAAATGAAGCTGCCAATTTTTTAAGTTAAATTCCAACGAACAGTTCTGATAGGTAGTGCAGATGAATGTTGGAGGCTTGGTAGCTTCAAATATCCTCTCTTTCTAGGATGTCTAGTTGGCGGTTATTTCTCTCATGCTGTATTCAATTGACTATCTTCAGTGAATAATTGCTATCAAATTAAGCTGCCAAATTTTTAAGTTAAATTCTAACGAACAGTTCTGATAGGTAGTGCAGTTGAATGTTGGAGGCTTGGTAGTTTCAAATATCCTCTCTTTCTTATGAGACCCTGTTGATTGTTGATTGTTGTTGCTGAATCTGTATTGAAGGCTCTAATGTACACGACGTGTCATATGGATGGAAAGAAAAGGCAGTATATAAGAAGATTTACATTCTTTACATTCTTCTTATATAAGAAGATTGAAACTCTTTTAAAATTCTTTTTCTTTTGGATAATAGAACTTCGATGAGGCTAGAATGGGAAATGGAGAAGTTTTTGTGAGATGAAGGAACTAAAAGTAGAAAAATAACTAGCAGGTCAAGTAGCTTCCTAAAGGAAGTGACATGAATCACGCAAGTACTAGCACAGTTCATCTCTTTGCAAATGCTAAAAGTAGGGAAACAGTTGTCTCTCCGGGAATGATCAAAACGACTCATATTTCTAGTTAAGAGTTAATACTTCTTTCTATCGATTTACAGTAAGGACAATTTTGTTTCAGCTAATGTATAGCCGATTGTATAACCACTCTCTCTAGTTGCTGTAATGTCTGCTAGCTCCCATTCCTCGTACTATGGTGATACAAATTTCAGATGGTGGTGGATTTGGAGGTTTACGATTTATGGACCCCCTAAAAAGTGTGCCAATCTCTTAAGAAAATTTAGACAAAAAATAAAGTGGTACAGAAAAATGTTCTTGCATATCTGCTTTCTGTTGTTATGGTCGGGGGACTTAGGCCTCACACCGACTCCATCTCTCTTGCTTTCATGCATACGCTTTTTGATGTGAACTTGTAAAGTTTGACATCATCTGTATAAAAACCGAATTTATAAGGAATGCTTAAGCAATGACTGTAACTGGATTTTTTTTCTCAAAGTTGCACACACAACTAACTGCCACCGTTAATTCGTGGAAGCATTCATGCAACATCTTGTTTGTTCTTGACAAAGATTTAATTCCTTCACTGCAAAATTTGTTGGTTATTAGTATTTTGTAAGAGCCTGTCTGTCAAAGTAGCAATCTGTTTTTCTGCGACTTTGAATCAACTATTGCTCTTTCCACTGCAGTACTCGAGAAATGTGAGTCAGACACGTTGGATTATAAATGACGAAAGAAGGGGAGAAGCATCTGTTGAGGTACTACCAAATTCTTCATCTAATGATATTTAGCATATTGTGTTTGGGTGTCATTGAGGAATAATGATCTGAAAAACTAACCTTCTGATTTGCTTACTCTGTAGGAAATAATAAGTGGGAGCATGCTTCCTATTTTCCAGGGTGATAGTTACAAATTTCATGCTGCTGGTAGAGAGGATATCGATGTATTAAAGCTGTGCTTTCTTAGGACATGTTAGTGTTTGAAGAATACTTCTCTGATTGTCAAACTACTCTTTTCAGGTCAGGATGTTGGGTTCAGGTCGGCCTTTCTTGGTTGAGATACAAAATGCACGCCATGTCCCTTCTGAAGTGTTCATAAAAGAAATAGAAATGCAAATAAATAGCCTGGAAAGTAAATTAGTGAGTTCAATGTCAAATTCACATGTGGCTTTGTTATTTTCAGAATGATTTATAATACTGCTGTGCTAAACACATTTTGCACTTAGGTTAGGGTAAAAAGTCTCAAGATTTTAGGTACTCAGGGCTGGACCTTGATATGGGAAGGAGAGGCAGAAAAGCAGGTAAACTTGTTGCTTTGTAGCCAAATTGCCATCTTGGTTTTGCATTCAAGCCTTTCCTGCAATCGGCCTATAACCTATTAGTCCATCCCACGCAGAAGCAATATGCTGCACTGGTCTGGATATCTCGCTCTCTTACTGATGATGATATGCAGACTATATCTTCACTTAAGAACATGGTGAGGTGTTATGCTGTCTTTTTTTTTTTTTTCTCCCTTTTTTCCAGACAAAATATTAGTTTGGCTTGTTCTTTTCATCACCTCTGTATTTTGTGATGCTTTACATTCATTGACTTTGTGCTCATGCTTGTTTTTTGGAATGTCTCTATTTTAACATAATTGGGGAAGGCTAACCTGCCCACCTTCATGAGGATATCATTCAGTTCGTGGATGGTATTCATTGGGACCCCCTTAGTAATTCCAGCTTGAGAAAGTTCCTTTCTTTCATATATCCCCCATTTTTCAGTGTTGCTATGGAAAGATATCTCCCAATCAGTGTTGGAAATCCAAATCTCTCTCTCTCTCTCCCTCTCTCCCTCTCCTGATGTAACCCTATCACAAGCTATAATTAGACATTCATTTCTTGGTGTAATGGTATGACCTATGTTACTTGGATCGTTGATCAATTTGGTACAGGGTATGAGTACGGTTACGTGGTACGGTACTTCTTTCGATACGCGGTACGACAGAGATAGGCGTAAGCGGTACACTCTTTTGGGTTGTGTTTGGTTTGTAACTTCTATACAGAATAATATATGCGCATACATAGTTAATAAATATTTATTTTATATTTATGATAAATATTATCAAAATATGAGTATAAAGAATACTAAAATAAAGAAATAACAAGTTAAGGGTTATGATTTGGGTTGGGGTTATGATGTGAGATTACTTAGATCATGAATCAATTTGTGGTTTAAGTTAAAATTTGAGATCAGGATTTTGAGCAATCTGGATTGCGAACCCATCCTATTGTGTGTTGTGCGACCCCGGTTCGTGGAGCACTAGGGGTATCTATGATCCCGGTATCTATGGGTATGACAGCTAAAATTTCTTCTTTGAAAATTTGAATAAAAGTACCTTATTCTACTCTTGTGGGTCCTCAAATGAAAGCCAGAGAAAGTTACAAAAAAGGGGACCAGCGTAATATTCTTTTGAATGGTTATTTGTACATGCAAATAGCAGTTTTTTGTTGTAAAAGTAAAAGTCACTTGCTCATTTGCTAACCAGACATCATGTACTGGTGCTCTTCTTGTCCATCAGCTTCTGCTTCTTTTCTTGTGCAGCAAATTTTGCAGAGAACTCCAATTAGAGTTCTTCATCGTCGAAGTCCATTGGCGCGTGAAAAGATTATATACTGGTATGAATAGTTCCAATTAAAAATTGATTTTATCTGGCTTTAATATTAGGTGTGCATTGTGTTTGCCTGAGAGGGACTGTTTTCTGATGTCAGGATGAAAATAGAGAGGATTGCTGGAAGTTCTCAATATTTTCTCTTGCATCTCTGTACCCAGGTTATAAGTCAGAATTTTTTTTTGTTGCATTTGTATGCAAATGAAAACTATTGTTGTGATCCTTCCAATCAATCAATGGATTGTGCTGCTGCTTTCAATGAGTGAGAGTTGTTCTGACCCCAATCCCACCCTGATTATGTGATTTGATTGGACTGTGAAAAACATGATGCCATTGTATAATGATAAGAGTCAGATGTGTAAAATGGGACATATGGGAAATTGTTCACCTCTTTTACCACATAATTTGGCTTATCACTTATGAATGGGGGTGGGTGTTTATTTTTTAGGTGTGATCATTTTCAACAAAGTCAATATGTCATTTATTGGAAGCAGCTGCTATAAGGTTCTACTGTGTTAAGTATGAGTTTGAGAGTTCGATCTGAGTACCACTTGGGTATGGGCTAAAGGCCCCTGGCTTGATGGGAAACATAGAAGTGTAATACGAGAAAATTATAGCTGGCCTAAAGAGCGAGAAAATGTCCCTTGATCACTTTCTGTAGTTTTGTGGAAGAGTAATTTCTATTTGTTCTTGAATTTCTAGATGATTTGCAATTATGGGAAACTGAAGACTAATGATTGTATTTGAAGACAGGCTGGGACATATATTAAAGAATTTGTTCACGGGGATCTTGGACGCACACATCCTAGGTATGAAATACATCCATCATTCTTTAGGCAGTTGAAGAGTTATTTATGCTTCTTTGGGCCTGAAGACCATTGTCTAGAGTTCTGTGTGAGGTTCAGTTGGCCTTCTGGTTTTCCTGAGAGACTTATTTGTCATATGAAAATACATGGCCATAGTTTGAAGGCTTCGTCCGAAATAGCATCTGTTGAAGTTACTGAAGTTTGTTACATGACCTGTCATCACGTCAGCACAAAATTCTATTTTTTCGAACATCTTAAATACCTGGAATCTAATAATCAAACACTGCCTAATCGAAGAACATCTTTTCTTGTTTATTTTTATTATGAATATAATTCTTGGTATCTTGCAGCATTGGTTCAATAATGGGATGCAGAGCAGAGATACTGCAACTTGATGTCACAGACGTTAAAATGGACATCTCCCTGGATGAATGACGATTCTGATCTGTGGATACATCGCCTTGAGTTTGAAGTGAGTTTCTAAACTCCTGATGTGCAATTTGAATAGTGTGAAGTGATCTTTGTCTCATAAATCGAACATAGCCCAGGTTTCTGAACCAACCCATTAGCTGTTACAACGGCTAGGCGAATTATGGAATGTATTTGTTCTGTATTCCACGTTAGTCCCTACATAAGAATAGGTAAGGAAAGATAATGGTCAGAGACTTTTTTAATTGATTTTTTAGTGTGTGTATGTGTGTGCGCGCGCACGCGCTAGATGGCCACTGCAGTGCTCATATATCTCTGCCACAGTTCCTAAAAGAAGTGTATGCAAGGCTTTTATCAAAGCTCATATATCGTTGTTAGTGGTGGCTTTTATCAAAGCTCAAATCATATGGAATCATCTAATGTTGAGTTCAATTATTTGTCTTGCAGTTTATACAAATCACAAAGGTGGAAAAAGTAGCCTGAAGGATTATAAGATTACCAGAGGGTTACCTCTTCAGCACATCTAGTTTTCTGTTATGAAGCTGGTAAAGGCAGGTTTAATGTCGAATGAAGAATGAAAATTACATGCTGGCAACTGCTTACTATGTGGTCTATGCACCATTCAGTCAGAAGAGAGTATCATTGTATCACAGCATAGAATAGAGTTACACACTGCCAAATAAACCTGCATTTTGTGAAACTGAACTAACCTTTTTAAGTGCATGGAATTTTGTACTTAGTCCAGGCTTCTTGGTCGACTCAATTATTCTTGTTGCCTGTTGATTGTTAAATTGAAATTTATATGATGGTGCTGCAGAAATGCCGACTTTCTGATTACATTTATCTTCTCTCTTTTATGACCAGTAAATTTGCTCCTTTTAATGTTTTTTTGGGCCTGGCCAATATGTTATTTGTGAATAACCCCGTGGTGCTCTAAAATGTAAGCTACTATGTTCTTTTTGTTTGTGTTACCTTGTTCACCACGCAGTTTTTATGTTCATAATGCTCCATTAGGTTGAGGGGAAGGAAAAACTAAAAAGAATGAAAGAGAACGCTTTACCCTATGCTTTTCACCCTAATTGGGATGGAACAGCTAAGAGAATATTCAATATAACAATGATAGTATTATGTGGGATTCATCTTTTTACTTATTTGTATATTATTAATTGGTGATATTATGTGACAATAGTGACGTGATATCACCGTTGTAATGAATATTTTTTCTAACTTATAGACTTGGAAAGAAGGCTTCATCCTTCTTTTTGTTTCCTTCCCTTTTGCTTCCTGCAAAACAAAGGACAATCTCTCTTTCTCTCCTTCCAACTTTCTCATGTATCAAACTTATGTATGGGTGATGTGAAAATAAAATTATGAAAAATTAGAAAAATAGAAAAGTGAATAAATTAACTTTCTTTTTAACTTATAAATTTAATCTCCACAAGTAGGAAATATAGTTTTTTGTCTTTTTACTCGATATTTTGGAAATTTTTTTTTTTCTTAGCATATTCTATCCAATCAGGTGTGATATTCATACTCAATTAATTATGTATGAAGTTGGGTAAACATTTTTGTAACTATTAATTTTTGGATCATTTTAATAATTCAATTAAATAACATACATCAATTTAACAATACAATAAATCGATAACACTAAAACCTAAAACAACAATTACAATAAAATACAAGAAAGTATGAACATTAATCCATCATAATTGTTTGTTACACAAATACAATAATAATTATTTTAAGTTTAAACCATACGAAACACATTAAAATCATAACTTCTTCAATAGATCACTAGTTCATCATAAATCATGTAACCTACACAAAAAACAAGTTCATGTTTTAGCAATTCAAACATTCACAACAATAATAATGTTATAATATAAATTATACCACACAAATACTCTTATAATTACTAAAAAAAAATATAAAAAAATTAAATATATTCTTTGCGGATAAGATATGATAGAAATGAGAAAATTGATAGATATTCTGCATTCCTATCCAATTTAATCGGAAGACCAAAAATTCTTTAACATTCCTACTTGATTTTTGCGGCTAATCAAAAATTTAAACACTCCTAAGAAAAGTGAACGAAAAGTTAATTATATGTGTTAAAATATATTATTTGTCTATATATCTTTTGATATATACATATATCATATTTATCAATTATATACTATATATACATTAATTTCATATATAGATATAATGGTAAAATATGTATTATAAAAAAATTTAAAAATAAAAAAAATACTTTTTTTATCTTATCAAACATAACAAAAAAATTCAATTCTTCCTTCTTTCTATCTCTCCTACCAAATATTGAGGAAAAGAATGATTTCTCCCTTAAAAGATGAAAAATATATCACTCATATTTTTCATTCTTTTATTTTTTTCATCCACCCTACCAAATAGACGAATAGTTTAAATATTCTCACAATTTATACAATTGTCAGTTGCTTACACTTAACAGTACGCACCCCTCTTTTCTTCAGGCATAGGTTTTTTCGGAGAGGTAAGAACATAAACCAAAAAGCAACTTCCCAAATTAGTAATATGGAAAACAATATAATAGAAAATAGCCAAAAAAAGGAAAAAAATTGCTTGACCTCCTAAGTAACCATTATTAATGATACAAATATCAAAGATCGCTTTATTTCAAATCCTTAACCTAAGTTTTCAAAAGCATGATCAAAATGAGCATCAATTTGCGATTGTTTTTAACTTTTGTGATAAATTATAGTGATTCTAAGACTTGTAAGTCCACAGATGTAAATTCTGTATACATAGCCCGACCATGTAATCCTCATTGGAATGATGTAACTCACAAGCCTTCTTTGATAGGAAAAATCATCTAATCAACCCAGGCTGCATCCAACATCTTAGCCATAAAGCTATAGCTGTCTGCAGCTGCATCAATCTGTCATATGAAATCAAAGACCATCACTGTCTCAACTATTAAGACAAAACAACCACTTAAACAGTAAATTACCTACAATTAAAATCTTACCACTTTCTGTACTGGACGTCCAGCTCCATGACCAGCTTTACAGTCAATGCGGCCAACAATTGGGTTGGTCTGGGGGCTTTTGTCCAAGGTTGTACATAGAACATGTTGCATTGTCTGAAAATGAATGGAGAACCATTTTAAAAAAGATGGCACAATGGGGAAAAAATTGGAAAACTAACATGCATACAGACACAGACGTATGGAAATCACATACATGCCAAAACCATATTCAATTAGTATTCAAGTAGGAGGTGCATGAATATATCTAACACCAACACTTCCCGTACATACAAAAACCATATTCAGTAAGTATTCAAGTAGGAGGTGCATAAATATTTGTAACTCCAACACTTCATTACTTCAGCAGTCGTAAAAAGTGTAGCTCGACAGTCTCAATCTATCACGACCTAAAGAATCTTGCATTTGGGAATGAACTTCTATGAGTCTCACACCAATTTTGTTTTCTTGAATTTTTGAATGTTGCTTTAAATAGAAACAGCCCCATGCCTCTCAATCAAAAGTATTTACCATGCAAAAACAAAAAGGATCCCCCAAAAAGATTAAGCTGCAGTGAATTTTTCAAACAAGGACGGACTTATTCCCCTCCAAATCTAAGATTCATAAACAAATATCATTTAATCCCACACAATTGAAAGTCACAATGCATATTGAGACACCATCATTGTCATAGACAGCTATTACCTACAAATCAATATAAACACACCACTTTCATTCTACAACTAAATACATTTTAATAAGAGCTTTTGCATGTCCGTAATATTTTGTTTAATATATTGCCTTTTCCATCCAATGTGAAACAAAAAATATTACGCATCTCAATTGCAATAGAATTTCTATATTTGTTTTACCTAGGTTTTTATATCTGTTGGACACCTCCTACATATTCTACATAGAATTCTAACTATGACAGCCTTAGATGGTTATCTTAGAATCCTGATGCCATACCCACATGAATTTAAGATTCAACCCGAGCAAAAAAAGTGGACAAACATGGCTTCAACTAATAGTCAAGCACCATTAACGAAACAATGCAAGAATTATCAAGGCTATTCTAAATCTTCTGAACTGATGAAAATCAAAAGCATGTATGTGTGCACACACACAAATGTATACAGATGGCAAGCTTAATTTGTCTAATTTAATACCCACCGCCAATAGCTTGAAAGAGTGCAATGGGACAACCCGATCATCATGATCAGCTGTCAATAGCATGGTAGGTGGGTACTGAGAAGCCTGAGCAACAGAGTGTTCCCATGGTCGCCTGACATTATGTAACGGTGAATACCTGGGAAGAAAATTTTAAGTTGATAAGAAAAGGAAACAACATAATTTTTTGAAAGCAATACAATTCAGAGATGATGCAACCAGATACAATCATGATGATAAAATCACTCACTTGATTAGCCAATGGAACTCTTCCTCCTCCTCAGAACAGCCANTCTATCACGACCTAAAGAATCTTGCATTTGGGAATGAACTTCTATGAGTCTCACACCAATTTTGTTTTCTTGAATTTTTGAATGTTGCTTTAAATAGAAACAGCCCCATGCCTCTCAATCAAAAGTATTTACCATGCAAAAACAAAAAGGATCCCCCAAAAAGATTAAGCTGCAGTGAATTTTTCAAACAAGGACGGACTTATTCCCCTCCAAATCTAAGATTCATAAACAAATATCATTTAATCCCACACAATTGAAAGTCACAATGCATATTGAGACACCATCATTGTCATAGACAGCTATTACCTACAAATCAATATAAACACACCACTTTCATTCTACAACTAAATACATTTTAATAAGAGCTTTTGCATGTCCGTAATATTTTGTTTAATATATTGCCTTTTCCATCCAATGTGAAACAAAAAATATTACGCATCTCAATTGCAATAGAATTTCTATATTTGTTTTACCTAGGTTTTTATATCTGTTGGACACCTCCTACATATTCTACATAGAATTCTAACTATGACAGCCTTAGATGGTTATCTTAGAATCCTGATGCCATACCCACATGAATTTAAGATTCAACCCGAGCAAAAAAAGTGGACAAACATGGCTTCAACTAATAGTCAAGCACCATTAACGAAACAATGCAAGAATTATCAAGGCTATTCTAAATCTTCTGAACTGATGAAAATCAAAAGCATGTATGTGTGCACACACACAAATGTATACAGATGGCAAGCTTAATTTGTCTAATTTAATACCCACCGCCAATAGCTTGAAAGAGTGCAATGGGACAACCCGATCATCATGATCAGCTGTCAATAGCATGGTAGGTGGGTACTGAGAAGCCTGAGCAACAGAGTGTTCCCATGGTCGCCTGACATTATGTAACGGTGAATACCTGGGAAGAAAATTTTAAGTTGATAAGAAAAGGAAACAACATAATTTTTTGAAAGCAATACAATTCAGAGATGATGCAACCAGATACAATCATGATGATAAAATCACTCACTTGATTAGCCAATGGAACTCTTCCTCCTCCTCAGAACAGCCAAAATCAGAGGTCCATGCATGGCCTAAACAAATGTGGAAAGGTGAAAAAAAAAAAACCCAACAAGATATGAAGAGCAATAAAACAAAAGAAATCTACTTTGTGAAACCAAGGAATGTAGACTCACCTATGGTGAACTTGTGAAATCTAAGCATGTCCATGACACCAACATGAGCAAGAGCACAACCAAAAAGATCGGGTCTCTATGGCCACAAAATTTTTCAATTCAACTCAGTCTCATGATATTAATCAGGAATGTCATAGGGCAATGATGCAAACACGTGCATTTACCTGATTGATGCAGGCCCCAATAAGGAGCCCACCATTGCTTCCACCTTCAATACACAACTTTCTGGGCTGGGTATAACCGGCAGATACTAGATACTCAGCAGCAGAAATAAAATCATCAAAACAATTCTGTTTTTTTGCAAGGGAACCAGCTTTGTGCCAGTCTTCTCCATACTCCCCACCACCACGAATATTGGCTAAGCAGAAGACAGCACCTAAATGCCTCATGTTTACAATACGACTAACACTGAATGATGGCGATAAACTGATATTAAATCCACCATAACCATATAATAAACATGGGTGTGATCCATCTAGAAGAATATCCTTTCTGGCCACTATGAAGATTGGTATCTCGATACCATCCTTACTAGGCACAAAAACCTGAAAGAGAAAATCCAATCAAGAAAATAAACAACACAACAGTCACAATGCGAATGCAAACCTAGACACAGAAAGAGAGATTTCAAATGTTGACTTGGATGACCAAAATTTTCCTTACTCAGTTACCTTTTGTAAATGAAAATCTATGTAGCTTGCAATGCTCAAAGCCAAAAGTTGTTTCCGTAATTGGAAAAAAAAAAAAAGAGAATGTGTGATATGAAACCAATACTAAAAAATCAACTACTTAACGTAAAGTAAAAAGAACCACTCCACAAGCTTGCATTGCTAAAGGCACAAAAAGAATAAAAACTCTAACCTGATTTACATGAAACTCTGTCCGCTCAAATCCATGAACAGCAATCTCTCGGAATATTCTCAGATCTGGAACATCAGATTCTAAGTTGCACTGATATATAATACCCGGGGTAAGGAAGCTTGTAAACCCAAAAAAGAAAGTGTTGTCTTTGCGCCGAGCCGAAATGTCATAAACTGTGCCAATGTCAATGGGTAAATAATGCAGCATGTTGCCTGTTTTCAAGTCCCTTAATTGCAGAACATGCTTTACATCACTCAAATAATTCACAAGAATTTTGTTGCCATTGACAGCAACAGCTGATTCAAGCACGTCCTTTTCAGCTTCTTGGAGAACTTCAGTCCAAGAATCCGGTTCCTTCAGATCTACTCGGACTAACTTATATTTTGGAGCATCCTTATTAGTTCGAAAGGTGAATACTGTTCCATCATTTGCAATAGCTCCATAATAGGCATCAAAGTTGTCAATAAGCTTGACAGAGGGAAGCAGGTCCTTTCTCCCCTTACAACCTTCAAGCCCATTAGGGAGTGCAGCGAAGTCGCAGTAATAAAGTTTGTTGACAGGATCACAACCCTCAAAAATATATAGAAGAACATACTGCAAACGAAAAAAAGGGAAAAGCATTTTGATTGAAGGGACAAATCAAATTTTGTGGGCAATGCAACAATTTTATTTATGTAAACCAAATTTATAGAATTATACACAGAAGAGATTTAATTTGATGATATGCATCTGAAAATATTTTCAAAGAGGGACATTCCAAATGGAAATTTTATCCTGTGCCTTCAGCATTTCCATATCCAGAGGTGTACAGGAAATAAGAACATATATCCCTCTAACTAGCCTGAAACAATTTGATATTAGTGAACCCAAAAGTGTCTATCCAAATTACATAAGTACATAAAACTTCTATGCTGTCTGTTAAACAATTTAGTTGCCAAAAAAAAGGTACAAAATTTGAACAAAGACATGGAAGAATGATTAGGCAATACAAGGACCAGAACCCATTAAATGATAGTTTTTAAATACAGCTAAATCTACATGCAGCTCTTGGTAAAACAGTAGATGGTATTGAAGGCACAGAACATGAAAATGATTTGCAAAACTGCTTTGTCTAAGGTCATAAACAACTTCATCCAGGCCAAACCCCGTTAAATGATAGTTTTAAAATACACCTAAAATCTACGTGCAGCTCTTGGTAAAACAATAGATTGTATCAAAGGCACAGATCGTGAAAATGATTTGCAACACTGCTTTGTCTAAGGTCGTAAACAACTTCACTCAGGCCATTAGTTTGTTATGTTTTGGTACTGCAACAAAGACAGAAGAAATTACAAGTTCAAAACAAGTCCACTTCATATTTCAACAACCACTTTTCAAAAGCCAAGTCAGGCAGGAGGCAAAAAAGAAAATTGTAATAGCACTGACAAAGCAGAACCCCATGTATCTTCTCATGCTAATAATACAAACAACTATAAAGCTTCAGCAGTCAAGAGTGACAATGTGGGTTTGAATATGATGGCAGCTACCGCACAAATAAAGCTAGTATTGCCTGATCTTTGTCCCTTCCAGCACCCCAATTAATGTGGATCAACACACGGTAATGAAAGGAAACTATGGCTCACTTTCAATCATTAAAGCTTTATAGAAACATCATAAATCATTTATACTGCTACAATAAAATTGGAAAACAAAGTTAAGGCCAGTAAAACATTAGTGCTCCCCATTAGCAGAAATAATGTAGGCCAAAAGCATGTTACCTTCCCATCTTCGGTAACTGATGCGTGACATGAATGTTTTGGATTGTCAGGATCTTTCCAACATAAAATATCTTCAGACTGATCAGTACCCAGGAAATGATAGTATACCTCCTGATCTAAGTTAGCATTGGTCTCGGTCCCAGCATCCACATTCTCTCCGCCCCTAAAAACCAAGGCCATGCCTATTAATAGAAATAGTAACAAAAAAAGGGGCCAGCTTTTTTATGCTTAAAAGATATAGAATCAAATCACATCTCTTTTACTTACTTTGGAGCCGGGTAGCGGCCATAGAAAAAACCTTTGTTATCATGAGTCCAACTAATATCAGTAAACTTAACCTATACCGGAAAAAATAAGATACATACTGAATGAATACATGTATAATGAAAGCTATATAACAACCAACATTCCTATTCAAAGCAAGCAACAATTGAACACTCACCCAACATAGAGTATCAGGCAAGACCACCTTATCCTCAATCCTCATGACTTTAATGGTGACCCAATCACTCCCACCCGAACTAATGCCATACGCCAAGTATTTAGCATCCTCGCTTACGGCATACGAGCTCAATGCCACAGTTCCGTCCTCGCTGAGTGCATTCGGATCTAGCAAAACCTCTGGCTTAGCATCCAAACTATCCTGAGAAAGTACAATGCAATAAGAAAAATTAAAGCGGGAAAGAAATCAGCAAAACAAGACTATAAAATATTTCCCAAATTTGATTATGGTAATTCTACGAACCTGCATGTATAGGACCTTTTGTGGTTGAAGCCCGGTGTTGTGGAAGTAGAAGTACTTATCACCTGCTCTAAATGGAGGATCATAACGCGGATAATCATAGAATTTCGTAAGCTTTTCACGAAGCTTTTCCCTCGTATCGCACTTTTTAAGTACTGATTCGGTCAATTCCACCTGCTTTTGCACGAATTCTTTCGTCTCTTCAGAATCAGGATCTTCAAGCCTAACCAAAACATTCCAAATTAAACAAACAAAAAATTCCAATCTGATTTCTGTACTGACTTGCAGTCCATATAACTTTGTTGATTTTGAGAGAAAACGATTCCAAAAACTCCGACGGTGAACGTGATGGAAATTCAAAGAATGATCTTTGCTTGAAAAAAAAACTACATACGATAAGTTACACTGAGAAAATGTATGAAGTATTCAGTTGGTTTTACCATCGATAAGGGTCGGAGATGAGAACGCCGTGGTAGTTATCAACGACGGACTCGTCCCGGCGAGCGACTGGGTACTGTAAATGCTCGTCAAGGGCACAGGAACACATTGCACTAGGGATTGAAGAGAGAGGGAAAGAAACGAAACGTAAACAAGATGGTTTCTTCTTTTAGTGTTTGTAGTTGAAGTAAGGTAGATGCTTGTTGATTTGTTTATAAGAGGAAAAAGCGAGGAGGTTGCGAGTCAAGCAGCAGCCAACAGAGACGAGTGAATCTTGGAAGGGAGAGGAGGAGAGAGAATGACGTGGGCATGGTGGCGAGTGTATGAGAACATGGTGCGCCATTTGGATTGATGGTGCGCGCGCTTGGGCCAAAGAGGGTGTTGTTTTGGGCGGACAAAGCGAGCAATGTGTCGCAATTGTGTCGATTATGTCGCAATTTTGTGTCGATTATGTCGCCATGGCATTGGAGATTCTATTCTTAGCGTGTTCGGATGTTGACGCGGGTGACGCGAGATTTTTTTTTCACTTCACTAGAATCCACACAAGTTTTTTTGGGAATTTTTTTGGATGTAATTATATTTTTTTAAATTTATTTAAGAGAAAATGTATGAATAAATATTTTATTCTATTAAATTCAATTTTAATAAAATATATTGTGATTATATACAAATTTTAAATGTATTAAATATATTGTGATTATATACAAAATTTAAATGACATTTAAAATTTGTTACTTTTTCATCCTTCATTAAATTATGTATAATTATTATCCTTTTAGGATTTGAATCCCTTCCATTACTTATTCCCTTCAATACATTGTTATATGAATGACATGTGTAAGATTCTGAATTTCAATGAATAAGATTTTTTATTTGTGAAAAAATTCTCTAATAATGGTTAACACTCCATCAACAATAAAATGAATAACAAAAAATCTTGTTTATTGAAATTCAAAATTTTACATATATCACTAATCTAGGACTGCATTAAGAAAAATTGAAGAAAAGGGGTAATAGAGGGGATCTAAATCCATTCTTTCACTCTCTTTTTTCCCCTCTCTCCATTATTCTTTCACTCTCTCTTCTCTATTTTTTTTTATATCTATCTCTATCTTTATCTCTCTATTACTCTCTCTATCTCTCTCCTATTTTTTTTCTCTCATTGATAATTTATTTTATTTTTAAATATATAAATATTTAGTTCAATTTTTTCATCTCCCTCATCTATTTTTTTCTCTCTCACTCTCCCCCTATTTTCTCTCATCGTTATTCTCTCTCCTTATTCTCTTTCTCTCATTATATCAAAGTTGCACTAATCAGTTATAATTGTCTTATAATACACCAAACAGTTAGTCATATATTCTGATAAACTAAACAATTACACAAAAATACGATACCAACTCAATTTGTCATTCAGTTGTTTACATGAACTAAAGAGTTACACTATTTAATATCACGACATGGTTATATCAATTGTCCTATAATATCAATGTTACACTAATCAGTTACAATTGTTCTATAATACACCAAACAACTAGTCATGTATTCTGATAAACTAAACAATTATATAAAATTACGATATCAACCTAATTTGTCATTCAGTTGTTTACATTAACTAAAGAGTTACACTATTTAATATCATGACATGGTTACATCAATTATATACACTAAATTTAGTATAATGATAATATAAAATCCAAGTAAATTTAAATTTTTGTGAAAAGTGACAAAATAGTAATTTGTCACTACGGTACGAGTTGAAAATTCAATTTTTTATAGAATTTAGATGACAAAACGGATCTCATCGTTGAATTCATCTCACGAAATTTAATTATCTTGTCAATTTTTGTCGAATTTCGAGATAGTCGAATTTTTCGCGTTTTACTGAACGATTAGGTGTCTCGCGACCTAAAAACGAAACATGAANCTAATAATGGTTAACACTCCATCAACAATAAAATGAATAACAAAAAATCTTGTTTATTGAAATTCAAAATTTTACATATATCACTAATCTAGGACTGCATTAAGAAAAATTGAAGAAAAGGGGTAATAGAGGGGATCTAAATCCATTCTTTCACTCTCTTTTTTCCCCTCTCTCCATTATTCTTTCACTCTCTCTTCTCTATTTTTTTTTATATCTATCTCTATCTTTATCTCTCTATTACTCTCTCTATCTCTCTCCTATTTTTTTTCTCTCATTGATAATTTATTTTATTTTTAAATATATAAATATTTAGTTCAATTTTTTCATCTCCCTCATCTATTTTTTTCTCTCTCACTCTCCCCCTATTTTCTCTCATCGTTATTCTCTCTCCTTATTCTCTTTCTCTCATTATATCAAAGTTGCACTAATCAGTTATAATTGTCTTATAATACACCAAACAGTTAGTCATATATTCTGATAAACTAAACAATTACACAAAAATACGATACCAACTCAATTTGTCATTCAGTTGTTTACATGAACTAAAGAGTTACACTATTTAATATCACGACATGGTTATATCAATTGTCCTATAATATCAATGTTACACTAATCAGTTACAATTGTTCTATAATACACCAAACAACTAGTCATGTATTCTGATAAACTAAACAATTATATAAAATTACGATATCAACCTAATTTGTCATTCAGTTGTTTACATTAACTAAAGAGTTACACTATTTAATATCATGACATGGTTACATCAATTATATACACTAAATTTAGTATAATGATAATATAAAATCCAAGTAAATTTAAATTTTTGTGAAAAGTGACAAAATAGTAATTTGTCACTACGGTACGAGTTGAAAATTCAATTTTTTATAGAATTTAGATGACAAAACGGATCTCATCGTTGAATTCATCTCACGAAATTTAATTATCTTGTCAATTTTTGTCGAATTTCGAGATAGTCGAATTTTTCGCGTTTTACTGAACGATTAGGTGTCTCGCGACCTAAAAACGAAACATGAAATTAAATTTTAAAAATTAAAAAATAATTTAAAACTAGTTCAAATAAAAATATTTTAAACTTGGATCGGGATAAAATTTAATCGTTTCGAAATAAAATCGGATCCAAGAATAGAGGACGTGTGGCATGACGAAGACCATTTTAGCTAATTTTTAACATTGGAGAGTGAAAAGAGGGAAAAAAAGAGTTACAACTTTTCTCTACGATCTATGATCTTTCTTTGGTCGAATCAACTTGGGCCAAGAATTAAAGTTTCTCTATGGGACGAGGGTCATGCTGACGTACAAAAAAAGACGAATTTCGCCAAAATTTCAAAGACAAAAATTTGAAAAATCAAGGGGTTGAGCTTGGGTTATGTTCTTGAATGGTGGTACAACTTGTTTTACGTTCCAAGAGGTAGAGTTATTTCTTAATTAGATTTATTTCCAATCTAGGATTGTTAGATAGAATAGGTAGGGTGTTAGAGATAAAATTTTATGTATAACACTTACCTATGGTATTTGAAATGTATAAAATGGGTATAGAAATATGTAAAATCAATTCTAACTTGAATTGGATATGTGGAACTTGTGATTTCTTGAGAAATGTGGTAATTTGGGCATATTATATGTTTACATGTGCCTTGTGGGTGTTTGATAAAGCATCTTGAATTATTGAAGTATGTTGTTTTGATAAAATTGAAATAACATGCTTGATGATGTTATAAATTATAATTATATGCTTATGATATAATTAACAATTGAGAATATTTACATGACATATGGAACATGATGTGAAATTACAATTGAGATCTTAGTTGCATAATGATATGGAATGTAATTGTACATATACATTGTATATGCACGGGTAGCATTACATTCGTGGGTGTTTGACATGAGTGCAGGTCTGTGTGCGTGGTTTGATCAAATATCATTCTTAGTAGATAATGCGTGAGCTCGGGATAGATGGGCCGATGGTTCGACTGAATCGCATGATTTGCATTGAAAATAGGGTCGGGGTTAACAAGAAAGATTAGATTGTCTACCGGGTGCAAAACCCAATGAATGGATAAGCACTCCATTAGTGTGGAGTCCATAAAGTATGTCGGTGTACACAGAGCCATTGGTGGAAGTCCATTAATGTCGTGTCAGTTGAGTGCCCGTTGGTGTGAATCCATAAAATATCCACCCCAAGAAAGACCCGAGATTTAAATTAGTCATTGAATGTGTAGTATCAATGGCGAGGGCTTGGAATGTTCGGATACATACGCATGACATTGCATGTGTTGAGGGGACCGGTAAGAGTCGGGTTGAGTTATATGTGTGAGTCTCATCTCATAACATGATATGACATAGAGAATTCATTATGAATTTTATATTTTTAAATGGATTAATTGTTATTTGTGAACATTTTATATGCATCTAGGTTGAGGAGTAGCCTCTTTAAAAGATACCCTATTGAGCGTGGTTCATCCTTTATGGGGACAATATTTCAGGTACGGGACATGCGCCGATGGACGACTCTCAATTGGGCCCTCTTTGTTGAAGAAAAGTCGAGTTATGGTTTTTGAAACATATTTTGTAAAAACTATTATGCTATTTAATTTTGTAAAGGATTGTAAAGTGAACTCATATGAATTGTATTTTGCTTAAAATTGATGTTTTATGGGTTTGGCTTGGTGTTGTATAGGGTTAGAATGAATTGGAATTGAGAAATGATGGAATCGAAAAAAACTGAGAAGACCTACCAGTAGAACGTCGAGTACTTCCACTGGTAGAACTTTTTCAATAGACAATTTCTATCGGTAGAACGTCAAGTTTTGCTGTAAAACATTTCCAATGAGTTTTCCTATCGGTAGAGCTTTGACAAACCTACTAGTAGAACAATTTCAGTAGCTTTTTTCTACCGGTAGAACTTGCACATCTTCTACTAGTAAGTTTTCTTCTATCTGCAAATTTTCAAATGCTTTGCTATGCTTGTAGGCCTTGAGTCCTTTTACTTCAAGAGAGTAAATGGTGTTAAATTGAGGATAAATTAATGTATATTGGACCTTGGATGGGTCATGTGGTTGAATGATATACATGTTCTACGTTTAGGAGTGTCTGGTACAAGGGAGACTTTACTCAAACTTCGAGTAGTCGTGATCTTGGTAAAAGAGATGTTGTGACGTGGTGTTGGGTTATGTGACATTCACGGGTATTTTTGCGAGTTGATGGGTAATCAACGGGTTGACAAATGACCTCTGATTTTAGGGGCTTCATAGATAAATTCTTTTGTATAATAATAAACTCAATTTAATGTATATAATTAGTGTAACCATGTTATAATACTAAATGATGTAACTCTTTGGTTTATATAAATAATTGAATGACAAATTGAGTTGGTGTTGTAATTTTGTGTAATTGTTTGATATAACTTTTTGATTTATTA